TTCTAGTTATTATGCTAATAAGACAAGGTGTGACTTAAACTAATCTCTATTTGAGACATAACAAAGATTAAACAAGGGAGAGAAGGAGAAACGGAAGATGATAGATGACACACCATATGAAGATCACCACAGGGCCAAAGAATTGAAGATGAGAAACGTGGACCTTCTCCCAGAGCTGACATAGAGAGAAAGTTTTCCCTAGAGCTGGCACTCTGACTTTGGACTTCTAGTCTTCTAAACAGAGAAGGCAATTGGTTAAAGCTGCCCACTCATGGCATATCTGCTATAGATGAGCTAGATGATTGCCTTGAATTGAATTGTAGTCCCTCAAAAAATGGTTATCTTGACCGAGGCATGATTCTCAATGGTTCTCCCCATGATGCGATCTGATGCAGTCAACACGGATACAATAGAAAGATATTATAGTCGGATGCAACACCCTTAATGAAGTGACAGCCCTGAGCTAAGAAGAGTTTCCTGGTGTGTAGCCTGCGTCATCTTTTACACTAAATAAAAGCAGAAGCGAGCAGGAACAGAGAGACCTCTTAGCACCAAGGAAGGGAGGGACTTCCTTGGATCCAGGGTCCTTGAGATGATAAATTCCGAGATCAGGGGGAAGATCAATGACAAGGGCCTTTCTCAGAGAGAACAGAGTGAAAGCTGGCACTAGCGGCCTGAAATCAGACTTGTAGCCTCCTAAATGGTGAGAGAATAAATCCATTAGAGCTGTCCACTTGTGGTAATTTTTTTGTCATAAAATTAATTAAGGCAATAACTAAGGCAAGTGCCAATGTGCATCATGTAAATTTCATTTTTACAAAGAGAAATACGGTAGAGTTAAACAACTACAATCAATTTAGTTTAAAAACATATGCAATTTGACTTTTCATTTTGTGATGTTGCATAGATACAATGCCATCTTTCTTTTAAAAAAAATCATTTTATTAAGGGGCTCATACAACTCTTATCACAATCCATACACACATCAATTGTGTAAAGCGCATTTGTACATTCATTGCCCTCATCA